GTCTCAATTGAGTTACCCAAAACTAAGCACATTTTCGGAATAACCACGCAGGCTTTGCTCGTCCCGGCATGGAAAGTTACTATCTCTAAATTCAAAGATAGTTATTCAGAAAGCGGAAAATAAAGGTTATGCCAAAGACAACATCCAAATTTTCCGCGCTCTCGAGTGGGATGACGTCAAGCGTTGTATAACTTGCAAAAGTCGAGTAGACAGTCTAAAAAAGCAGTATTTTGCGCATTTTGTTTTGTTTTACCGGCGTGAGCTCAACCATCATTTATTTCGCACCATAAAGCATCTTGTTATTCTTCGGGCACAAGCTGTACTGACCCTGGATTACGACGTCTGACATCACGTTTTCAGTTTCCCGTAGAGTCCCTCCAACCCAATTCGGAACTCTAAAAACTTTGCCGAAAAAAGAAATTATTGTCACTCGCAATTTAAGTTCCTAGTTCAGATGTGTGTACAAATGCGCTGAACCTAGTTTGAGGCAAATCAGTGTAACAATAAAAATTTCGCCGGAGCTCAGATTCGATGTTGAGAAACAACAGTGTGGCCAACGACATCCGCGCCACCCTAGGTAAGCAAATGGCGGCGGACAAACGTCACCAGCCCACAATGTCACGTGACTCGAATGGACAAATGAAAGCTGATTAGAACCTCTGCGTTTGAGTGTAATCGAGTGCATTATGCTCGCCTGTAACCGCTTACAATGGGAGAGCACACTGTCACACTGGTACCATCTATCGTTCGTGTCCTTCGGGGACGACCACGCTGATTCAAAAGGGTTTGGTGCAACAAAATACTAAATAAGAAACACATATCCTAATTTCTCTTTCATCATTTTTTCACTGTGGGCTGGAAATACTTCTGACAATGTTATGAGCGAAAACTTCTCGTGAATTGTAAGTAGATTAGAACTCGCAAGTAGCGCAAAACCTTCAGTCTATTTATACGCAGTACCAGGGCTCCCTTATCGATGGCGTGAAACCGGTTCGGAGAAGAGCGCCGATATGCAGAGCGCAGGCACGAATCTCGCCCATCTTCGTCCCCCGGACAGCCGTGATCGTATAGTGGTTAGTACCTTGCGTTGTGGCCGCAATAACCCAGGTTCGAATCCTGGTCGCGGCAGCGTTTTGTGTTTACTTGTGTTTACTTACAGTGTGTTCTCTCGCCGAACTGATGTTCGGCGAGAGAACACACTGGCACGCTGGCGCCATCCATCCGGAGACCCTGCAACTGCATTTCACTAGAGCGAAGGATTTACCAAGTTCTGCGGTATATGCGAGGTTAGATGTACGAACTACGTAGAGCCACTGACTAAGCTACCCTTCAGAGTAAACGACACTTTGGTTGCCAGTTATCTGAAGCCTTAACAAAAATCGCAGGAAACGCTATTCCGTCTTCCAGAAATGTTGAAATACTTCTTGACAGAACAAAGCTATTTCGTCTGAGCTTCCTAACACCCTACTGAAGCTAAGAAACTCGCATTTTTTTTTAATTTTGATGATCGGCAGTTGCGTCTGCTCTGCACTAAGCACAATATGGAGGCGCCCATTATCAGATCGGGGAACGGAGTAATGTTACTGTGAGCGCAGCTCATTTAGTGGCTCTAGTACTACCTTGGAAAAGCGGTCGTTCATAATATTAACCAAAGTTCGTCAAGCAAAAAAAGATAAATAATAATAATAATACGCGAAACAAAATAAAAACAAAAAAAGGGAAATTTACGGAACTGCCAAGTTCCGTAAATTTCCTTTTTTGCGATAGGTGTGTTAACGCGATAGGAGGCGCTAGGGTGCCTACATGTGCGGAAACATGTAGGCACCCTAGGTGGCGCCATTGTATTCTCTCGTCGTGAAAGGTTTGAAGAGGCTTCAAGGCATACGGTCCTAAGGAGACTTCAGGGTGTGAACGGGCCTTTATTCGAGCTTTTGTTCTTTTATGACGTGATATACGTCTTCTGTCGGTTTTGGCAAAAGTTATTTTATGCTTTTGGGTACCGTTTCCTCGCTTTCCTGATAATTTCTTCAATGATCTCTTGTGACGGCCGCGTTAACGCATCGGAAATAGTCGCCGATTGGTTACAGTTTTCTGCCACACTGAGATTAAAGAGGCAGTCACGATTGTGTTTCACGTCAAAGTTGTGCAGCGACTAGCGGGTAATCTGAGCAAACGCATCCCCCTCACACGAGGCACATAAAAATTGTGAACAAAATGAACTATAAAAAGATGAATAACTTACTTGACCGGTATAGGTTCTTAATTCTCTAACTTATTGGCTAATTGGTTGATTATCAAAAACGTATTGATCGTAGCCGACCTGTTAAATAATGCTTAATGAACTGGATTACTACCGACATATCATATAACTCAAGGGTTTCGTACTTGCAGCTCGCGGGCCGCACGTGGCCCTCTGCTCGCTGGGACGCGGCCCGCAGGAAGCCGGCTGCGAGCCCCCGTTCCCATGTCTCGAGTCATAGCCTCATCTATACTGATAAAGCCTGGCAGATCGCCACGAAACGTGGCCGCTGAAAGTGAAAAGGCAGAGCGGCAAACAACGGATGAAAGGAGAGCTATGTAACGGGCGCCCCACTGCGGCGAGACGCCGAAACACACTTGTTTCGAGCGATGGAATGTCCGCTCGTGCTTCTCGTGTTCTCCGCGTTACTGCTTCTTTTCTCGTCAGATTTGAAAACCATGTTTCGGGTACTCGCCGCTGCAAAAGTTGTGCGCTGACTACAGTGCCCTCAAGAAATGCTCCGTGCTACCAGATCCTCGCGCTCCAAAGCTGCGACTGGCACTCTATGGCTATGTCGTCGAACTTACGGACTTTGTGAGTATAGAGGAGGCTAAGCACGAGCACTAATGGCACGCGCGATAATGATCTCATGGCGCCGATTCATTTCTGCCCGAAACTTGGCTCTGCTGTTCTAACGTATCCACCTAGTTTATAATGTTCTCTTATTATTTTCCTTGTGTTTCTTTTCAATTTGTGCTTTCTAGCTTTTTGTCATGTTAATCACCTGCATGCCAATGCGCTACTATATAGGCTGCAAGCGCGAGCTCTTTGCTCAAGGACGTTCGTCGAATGCACGAACTCTCGCCCAGCGGGAACAATTCTGCCAAAGATAAAATTACAGGCTTGGGATTGTCACCTCAAAACAGAAAATATCACCATTAAAATGCATCTAGTCTCTCACGCTGCTGCTATTTAAATCGTCAAGAAACCCTAATATGTCACATGAGGACATTATTTTACACTTGTTGAGGTCGATTCATTCACGAGTGGATTGAGCAACGGGAACGACAGCGTGCTTCCTCACTTGATTTAATAAAAAAAAATTTTCAGCACGTTAGCGGGGCGATGCCCGTTTAATTTTTGTCATCACATGGGTAAGGGCCTAAAGCAGTCCAATAAATAGATCAAAGCTAATGATGTCACTTGCAAAAGTGCGAGTTCATAAACGTAGAGACGACGAGGCACCTTATCTATAAAACCTCCTGACTTACTCCCCTCCCTCCCCTTTCCCTCTACGCTGAACCTCGACATTTTGGGGGTGGGCTGTCTGGCACGTACGCTCAAATCAGTTTGAGACCCCTGATATAATTGACTGAATAATCATTTTTAAATTTCTTACGTGAAGATGAATGTTGGATAACTTAGTTATTTCGGTACTAGCTTATTTAGTTATTAACTTACTGATTATTGACTAATTGCTTTGTGGATTTTTGTACGTGAATGGATATATCAACCTACTGTGGCTGATGAACCTACTGAATGACCTGAATATTTTTTTATTTATTTCAATTTAGACAATTTATATAAAAATCTACTGATCCCACTGATTCATCGATCTATAATCAAAGAAAGCGGCAAGATAGATTTTTCATGATTCGCCATGATTCGCCAACAAAGCTCATAAGAAAAGCCTGACTTGCTGCTCAATCAAAACTTGGTCGATTAAATTTTTTCTACCTCTGTTAAATGACTTATATAAAATTGACAAAACGAAGCATGTAAAGCATTCGGAAGTAAGAACCACTAGACACAAGCACAACAATACGCTCGCTGAGTATTCCTTTAATATTAACAGTTTCAGATACTATAAGATATCTGAACAAAACAAAGGCAGTTTCTTTTAGTTATGCAAGTGTTAACATGTTTATTGGTGCCATTTAAAACCAACTAATTCGACAATCTAAGACTTGGTATGTTATTTATTAGACGCGCGCCTTTTTTTCGTTCTTTATTTAACCTTGGTTAACTCAAATTGTATATTTGTGATTTCTCTTTTACCCCAGTGCCTGCTATAATCCCTAGAAAGATTGGCAGTATTCTGAAATAAATAAAAAAATAAATATTATCACTGTCACACCTGGCAATATTATATGTTTCTGGCCACATAACTCACCTGCACAAAAGGCATTATAGTATCTTTCATGACTTTTTAAAACAAATCTGCATAGCCTAAAAAAACACCATGTATACTGAAAGGTCGGGGCAGCAAAAATCCATCCATAAGCCCGCATTTGCATATTGAAATCGCTATATAAAAACACAAGCGAGAGCCAGTTGCAATATTCTCGTCGGGGAATGGAAGGACGAATATAACCCGCGCAGCAACTTCGAGCGCTTCCGTTGGTACTTATGGCCCATAAGTACCAACGAAAGTGCTCGAAGTTGCTGCCGGGGTTATGGGTAACAAAAACATAGAGGCAAGTGGCACCGTTTCATAAAACGCAACAGCGGAAATGTTGTAACTTACCGATGGACGAAGACAGAATAAAACAATTCAAACTGGGACAACACAACCACATCTTTCAACTAGCAACAGACGAGATCTGTTGCTAGTTGAAAGATGTGGTTGTGTTGCCCCAGTTTGAATTGTTTTATTGTTTCTTCATCCATCACTTCAACCAACACGCTCTTCTCCCAAGCTTTACTTACCGATTGATTGACTGATTGATTTCTGACGACCGGGGTGTCTCCACCCCTTCAGGTGGTGCTCAGCCACATCGTGGATGGCCTGGTGCCCACGGGCTCGTTCCAGTCCCCGAAGCTGAGCTACGACCTGGTCAGCGAGCGAGCCCACCCACTCCGCGTGCGGATGCGTGGCTCCAACTTGACCGTGAATGGGGTGCACGTCCTTCGACCGGACCTGTTGGCCAGGGACGGCATCGTGCACTGCGTCAACGGAGTGCTGCTGCCGCCCGGCACGGAGCCAGGGAAGGACGCCGGAGGCAACTAGCAGCGGGTCATCACCAGTGGATTCATTAGTGAACGCCATCACTAGTAAATCCACACAGCGCCAGCTACCTTGCGTCAGTATGCTGCCGCCAGCGAATCTCAAAGCGTTTTACAACCAGCGCTGTGCAAACATGAGGCGTTACCAAGACTGACGCGTCTGTCGCTTTGCGTCGACTCTCGAGCTTCAGCGTGTTTGCTGCTTGGGGCGGGCCGGGCATCCACTAGCGATGACGTCATTATCAGGGATGTGTCTCCTATGCTGTTAGCCCGACTGTGAGAGGGGGAACCATTAAAGGGGCGGTGCAATGATTTTAACACTGAACGAATGTGCAGCTTGTATTTTTTATATTGTTTACTTCGGCATAAGTAAGAGAAAAAGTGCCACCATACCCCGAAATACCTCTATTTCGCTGCGTAATCGCAAAAGAAAAAAACGCTTTTTTTCCCAACCTGCGGCATGGTGGCCGCAAATGGAGCCTGTGGTGGCCGCAAATGGAACCTGCGGTGTGACATCATTCGGAGTGGTTTTTGTAAGTGATAGTGTTAGGCAATTCTAAGTTTGATTTAAGGTTAAGTTTAAAAAATCTTGTTGCTTAGGCATGCAGAAACGCTTCAAAAGCCTAATATTGCCGCTAAAAGGGTACGAATGATTTGTGGCGCCATCTACCGCAAGTCAACAAAACCTGCCGTCGCCGTCATCCGTCGACACCTGAGGCACCTACGGCGGCTACACGAGCATCCCGGACGTTTTGTCTTTCCCTCGCTCGACGGAGTACATTGGTCGTGGTCCGTAGTATCGTGGTATCGTTATTGTTACTGGTGTCTCGACCTCGACTTCGACTTCGACTGCCCGCCGCGTCGCAAACATCTTGCGCTCGACGTCGCTGAGGCCGTCCGCCCATGCCGCCATGTTGGTCGGGAATCGGCGGGAGAGCGGGAGAGCGGGAGAGCGGCGAGCCTGGCGAGCCGACGAGCGCTAGGAAAACGGAAGCCAGAAGAACCCAACCGGAAGCCAACGCCACTCCGAATGACGTCACAGGCGAAGCTGGTGCCGCTTCAATGTTGAGTTGAGAGGTGCCAGAGATACCAATTTCTTTTATTTCTTTTAATGAAAACTAGGGCAAGCAGGAAAGAATAGTTTTCGGTCCTTCGTTTTATATGTGGCCGGGATCAATTCCCGCAATTAATTAGCCACAGTCCGCAAATTGTTGCACCGCCCCTTTAAAGCGCGTTAAATTGTTGTCTCGCCCCCTCCTCCTCTCTCCCCCTCCCCCTATACAGCTGTCCAAACAGGACACGCTTTTTTAATATAAAATAATTAATATTTTAGTGTTACTTTATCTCGATTTTTGATGTCAAATTCTGCGAAGGTTTGGAGATATATCCTTTACAGAAATGACACTCCTGGTAGTTTTATTATTCAAGATAAGTGTGTTAGTGGCCCTGTGGTTATCTCTAATAGCTTTAATAAATATTTTTACTCAGTTTTTATTTTTGACAACTGCATTTAACCTAGTTTTCGTTCAGATATTGTGTTTAGTTCGTTAGCAAATATCCAGGTTAGTGTTGACGGTGTGCGCAATTTGCTCTTGAAGCTTGACAACAAAAATTGTTCAAGCCCGGATAATAGAATTCCTTTTTGCATCGTTATTCTGATTGGACATCGGGATAGTTAGCTATTATTTTCCAGAAGTCACTTTCCTCCGGAACGGTATCTCTGGTTTAGATATCAACAAGAATAGTCCCTATACACAAACATGGTAACAAACAGAGCCTTAATAATTATAGACAAATTTATCTTACGCCCTCATCCAGTAAAATTCTTGAACACATAGTATATGAATACATTTCCTAGTATCCTACGAGCAATTAATTTATTTGTCGACAGCCTGGTTTCCGCCGACATTTTGCAACCACTACGAAACTTGTGGAACTCACTCATGACATCGCTTTATCCTTGGATAAAAGAGGACAAGTTGACGACATTTTCATTGATTAGTCAAAGGCTTTGGACAAAGTATCGCACCCCAAGTTACTTTTGAAGTTTAAAGCAATCCTCTTTTACTAGACTGAATTTTTGAGTACCTGAATTACAGGTCGCAGTTTTCTTCGTTTGCGAATGCCATCTCTTCGGAGGTTTCGGTTAGTTCAGATGTGCCGCAAGGATCGGTGTTAGGTCCTCTTTTATTTATTTCATAATCAATCATGTTGTTGAAAACATACGGGTCAAAGTTCGTCTTTATACTGATGACAGCGTTCTGTACAATGATATTACGTCCATTATTGATCACTTCTTACTTAACGAATCTTTCCTGCACTTTCTTACTTTCTTAATTAGAGTATGGAATGGCAAATAGACTTAAATTTTGACAAGACTATATGAGATTTATACATAAAACATCACACCTTGTTTTTGGTTATGGTATTAATAATGTACTTTTAAACGAAGTTAGCGAGTTTAAATACCGTTAGGAAAATCGACGGTTTAAAATCCCAGCGTTCGGCGTTCAACGTTCCATCGCCATCCGTCCTTTTTCTCGCGCCTTCTTCCTGTACTCCTTTTCGTCGTCTTCTCATTCAGAGCACCGCCACAACACTGCCCCCCGACAACACATGAACCTCGTCCCGAGGTGGTGAAAAAAAAATATTCAGTCAGGTTGATAGGGAACCAGCCGATCAAAATGAACTACGTGAACTTTCCGGCTTAGCAGGTGCCGAACCCGGTACACGGCGTCGTTTAGTCGCTTGACAACTTCGTAGGGGCCTGAAGTTTCGGGCAGCGACCTTTGGTGCGGCGTGGCTGGTGCAGCCACACTTTGTCTCCAGGCTGGAGTATGCGACCCGAGCAGCTTCGGTTAGCGGGTTCTTGCACTTTCACTGCTCAGGTGGAAAGGTCTTCGTGCAAAATCGTGCACACAGTTCAGTTTCGTTCGCAGGTGGCGGGAGTAGTCAGAGTAAAGAACTCTGCGTGTTGTCTCACGCGATGGAAGCACTGGCGTGCCAAAAGTAATGTCCGCAGGTAGCCTTAGCTCCCGGCCCATTAACAACATCGCTGGCGTGTAGCTTGTCGCTGTATGAACGGCTGACCGGTAGGAAAGTAGGAAGAATGGAATTAGAGTGTCCCAGTTGTCCTGGTGCTCGTCAACGAAGAGCGAAAGGTATTGCTTGAGTGAGCGGTTGAGCCTTTCTACCATGCCATTTGACCGAGGATGCAAGGGCGTGGTTCTCGTCTTCCTGACTCCGAGTGTCTGACACATGCTCTTGAACACTTGCGACTCAAAAGTCCGACCCTTATAAGAATGAATTTCCAGCGGTACCCCGTATCTTGGAACGATGTCTTCCGTCAAGGCCCTGGTTACAGTGTCTGCGTCGTACGTTCGTACTGGAAATGCTTCTGGCCATTTGGTAAAGTAGTCAGCAATGACTGTGACGTACCGATTTCCTTGCGTCGTTTTCGGTAGTGCACCTATCAACATCAATGGCCACTCTTTCAAACTGGACACCGACGTTGTAGGTTACCATCCTCCCTCGGTTTCGTGATGGTGGTCCTTTACGCGACGCACAGAGGTTACAATTTTTACACCATTCGCGCACATCTCGAGTTGATCCAACCCAATAGAGCCTTTCTCGAACTCGTTGTAGGGTCTTGTATATCCCAAGATGTCCGCCAGCAGGGCTGTCATGAAGTTCTCGCAAGACGGTGTCGACACGGACTTGAGGTAAAATGAGCTGAAGCGTGCGGTTTCTTCCGTCTTTGCTCTCCCAGCAACGATACAGCAATTCATCCTGTAGAATGAGGGAATCCCATTGTGCCCAGTATGCTTTCACGACGCTGTTGTATGGTGCAACCACGTTCCCAGCTGGGTACTTCTCCCACCCGCTTCCACCGCAAAATAGGTTGCAAATTGCTATTGTTTTCTTGAAGCACACGGAGAACATCTGCAGTCCAGTTTGTCGGGTCTTGGTCATCTTGCTGGTGTTCTACCATCGCAGGGCACGTAGTCGTTTGGGAGGACGACAACGGTTGGCAGTCCAATGGAAGGCGCTGCTCGCTTTTCAGGCATGGGCGACAGTTGCCAGACAAGCAAGGTCGCCGCGGAAGTGCGTCGGCGTTTGCATGTCCCTTGCCGGGTCTATGCTCAATCCTGAACTCGTATTGTGCCAGCCGCTCTAACCGCCTAGCTACTTGGCCTTCGGGTTCTTGAAGTTTAAAAGCCAAGTGAGGGATGCATGATCAGTCCTTAAGAGGAACTTTGTGCCGTACAAGTAATGATGGAAATGGGTCACGGCTTTTACAACTGCCAAGAGCTCCCTTCTCGTAACGCAGTAGTTTTGTTCTGCCCTGTTTAGAACTTTGCTATAGTACGCAATTACTTTTTCGGAGCCATCCTGAATCAGGGACAACACAGCACCCAAACCGACGTTACTCGCGTCGGTATCGAGGACGAACTTGCAGTCTGGTCGAGGAAATTTAAGAACTGGAGGGGCGCTAAGGGAATTCTTGAGTGTGCAGGAAAAAATCTTGTGCGTGTACACTCCATTCGAACGCCGTATTCTGTTCTGATAAAGCGTACAGCGGTTTGGCAATTGTGGCGAAACCTTTTACAAATCGCCGGTAGTAGGTGCACAGTCCAAGGGAGCTTTTAACGTCGCGCTGATTTTGAGGTTGAGGCCAGTTTCTGACGCACTCAGTCTTCTCAGGGTCCGTCTCCATTCCTTTTTCAGAAACGATGTGACCGAGATAATGCACTCTCTTTTGAAATAGAATGCATTTCTTGGCATTTAGCTTCAAGTTTGCCTTTCTCAGACGGTCAAATACGAATGACAAATTACAAAGTGCTCCCTGGAAAGTTTTGCCGTGCACAAGTATATCGTCCAGATAAACCAAGCAAACATCGAGCGGCAGGCCCTTTAGGACCTGGTCCATGAGACGCTCAAGCGTTGCAGGGGCATTACAAAGGCCAAATGGCATTACTTTGGATTGCCACAGACCACCTCCAGTAGAGAATGCCGTCTTCTCGCGGTTTCTTGGGTCCATTTCAACTTGCCAGTATCCGCTCCTGAGGTCTAATGTGGAAAACCAGGAAGACCCTGCAATCGTGTCGAATGTGTCATCAATCCTAGGGAGTGGATAGGAGTCCTTCTTGGTGACATCGTTCAATCGTCGGTAGTCAACGCAGAACCTCGTGCTGCCATCTCTTTTCTTTACCAAGACGACCGGCGACACCCACGGGCTCGATGAAGGCTCAATAACATCTTGTTGTTGCATATCTTGGATCATCTGGCCGACTTTGTTACGTTTTGTCAACGGAATTCGCCGGG